TGGGATCCGAACCCTCGGGCGGGAGCGCCGCCGCGCTTCCCAAGCGGTGCACTATCCAGTGCGCCACCGGGCCGGCCCATCAAATAATAGTTTTGATAATTACTCTAAATCATAAAAAACTTAGATAAAAATCAAGTCTTCAAATTTTATTTTCTTACATTGTAGAGACAAGACAAATGTTAACATCTTGTGTGCTGTTGAACTCCTTCACGATCTTGACTCTTTCCTCTGGTTTTGTACTTCCATCAAGTCGTCGGTAATCAAGCCCAGACGCCATGCAGTATTGCTGCAGCACATCGAGCAACTAGAGGAAAGGTATAGAGATGGGCAAACACAAATGTTCGGCTTAACAAGTTTCATAACTTTATAGAGATTAGATTCCGTAAGGATTAATTATTGGTGCTTGCAATTTCTTTCTTATAATTCCAAGAGCAATGAATATTTTTCTCACTTCTGACCCATATATTTCTTCTCATTATCCTGAAACTGGCTTTAATGTTCAGCAAACTTTGTTTTAAAAAATCAACGTTCCATTTTTTTAAAAAACTGAAACCAAATAAAAAGAAAATCATTGTTCAAATCATTTATGTAAATATGTTTCATTATTTGTGCTATTTTCTAAGTTCTAAAATATTTTAAGTGTCTTAAAGAGTACTTTAATTGTTAACAAGAACATTAGCAGAAAATAGAATCTATCTTGAAGTCTACTATTTGACAGTAACCCTGACATAACTGAAATTTAAGTGCCTGTTTGAAAACCTCAAGGTGCTTACCTCATTACTATTTCCTACTGTGTGGATAAAACAGAAAATGTGGCTGTACCTTATGCTTTATGCCTCAGAAGTCAGGGCTGGGCAATCAAGAATACACTCCAGATGAAACTCACCTTGGTGGAAAAGGAGAAGAGAAGAACTTTATCTCTGTTTTTCCTGCAATGATTTAAAAGCTGTTGAAGGACCTGGAAATGAACCACATAACATCAGGGAACCAATTCCAACTAAAAGTTGGAATTTATACTTTATACATAGAAACATCACAAGAATTTCTTTAAAATTGTTTTTATACAATACTAACCTCAATCTTTTCTAATTCCCTTTTTTTTTTTCCAAGTAAGAGAAATAAAGTATTAGATATTACATCAAATGTTATTTATCGTCCTACTGTCAATAACGAGGTAAAGTTCCCAAAGACTTTTATTAGAGTAGGTGATACTCTGGTTTTAATAAAAAGGAAGCATTTTAGATTATGGGATGCATTTAAGTGGATTAATTTAATTTCCAAAATATACTTTCTTTATATTACAATATGTCAAGAAACTAAATTATAGAGTAGCATTCCTTTTAGGAAGTATTTAAATTGTCTCTAAATGGATGTAATGAAATGTGTTCAATTACATCTAGGTTCTAAAAGTCTTGATATTTATTTTCTTAGAATAATCAGTCAGATACACGGTTCTCATTTTCACCCTTGTGTTTCTCTATTTACAGTAAGCCCTGACTTCCAGATTTGATTTTGACCTCGAAATGCCAATAATTTGTCCCCACACATGGGGCTTTTAGGGAAGATGCAAACAGTCCAAAGCCTTGTGTATAATAGTAATACTGTTATTTTTAAACAGGCATTTTCACATCTGGCAATAATGGCTCCAGAACACCATGGAAAAGTAATCCACAGAGGGATAAAGGAATTTTCTGTACTAAGTCTACAGTTCTTCTGACTCTATGTATGAAACAAACACTTAAGCAATTTTATTTATTCAATGATAAACATTTACTCTTTTAAATAAAAAAATTTATGCCCAGTATAACACTCTCTTTATAGTTGAACAAGAGCAGACATTGTGCTAACTTTGACCCCTACACCCCCATTCCTCAAAAAAAAGCTACAGAGTTAAATCTACTCAGATAACCAATCAAATGGTGAATAAAAATGTCACAGACCAGGTAAACATTATTTTAATATATGGAGAACATATAAAATAAGTTTTATTTACAGTTAGATTTGCTTTTTAATAAAATGATTCTATGTAGTATGTGCATTTGAGCTTCACATAAGACATTAACTTTTTTTTAATTGATTGACTTTTTTTTAGGTTTACAGAACAATTATGTGAGAAAGAATGCAGGAAACTCCTATGTACTCCCTTTCCTCCCCCCCACTTTCTCCTATTAATATCTATATTAATAATATTAATATTAGAAAATATATCACTATCATTTATTAATAATAATTATTAATATTAATGTTAGTGTGGTATATTTGCAACAACCAAGTGAATATTGATATATTACTGTTAACTAACTAAAGTCCACAGTTTACATTAAGGTTCACTAATTGTGTTGTAGTTCCACAAGTTTTGATGGATGTATAATGACATGTATTCACCATTACAGTATTATACAGAATAGATTCACTACCCTAAACACTCTCTGTGCTTCACCTATTCATCGTTCTCTCCTCCAGAACCCTTGGCGACCACTGATCTTTTCATTGTCTCCATACTTTTGCCTTTTCCAGAGTGCCTTATAGTTGGAACCATATAGTCTGTAGGCTTTTCAGACTCACTTCTTTCAGTTAGCAACATGCATTTAAGGTTCCTCCATGTCTTTTTGTCTTTTCATAGCTTAATAGCTCATTTCTTTGTATTGCTAAATAATAGTCCATTGTATGGCTGTACCACAGTGTATTTATCCATTCACCTATAGAAGGACATCTTGCTTGTTTCCAAGCTTTGGCAATTATGAATAAATTTATGCGAAGTTCTTGTGTGGACAGTTTTTTAACTCATTTTAATTCATTTGGGTAAATACCAAGGTGCGTGATTGCTGGACTGTATGGTAAGAGAATCTAGGGTAATATTTTGTATATTTAAATTAAATATTTAATATTTAAGTATTTAATATTTACAAGTGTTTAAGATAAGAGCTTTGTAAGAAACCACCGAACTGTCTTTCAAAGTGACTGTACCATTTTACATTATCACCAGCAAGGAATGAGAGAGAGTTCCTGTTGTTCCACATCCTCACTAATGCTTGGTGCTATCAGTATTCTGGATTTTGGCCATTCTAATAGGTGTACAGTGGTATCTCATTGTTGTTTTAATTTGCAATCCCTTAATAACATGTGGTGGTGAACATCTTTTCATATACTTATTTGCCATCTGTACATTTTATTTGGTGAGGTATCTCCTCAGATCTTTTGCCCATTTTTAAGTTGGGTTGTTTGTTTTCTTATCGTTGAGTTTTAAGAGTTTTCTCTGTATTTTAGATACCAGTCCTTTATTGTTTTGCAAATATTTTCTCCCAGTCCATGGCCACCCTTCTCATTTTCCTAAAGACATCAACATTTTAAGCCAAGAATATATTGTACAGAAATCCACTCTCATTGTTTGGAATGGCATCATATCTATTGTAATTTTAGGTATTTTCAAATATTTTACAGTAAAAACAAAAGAAGTAATAAGAAAAGTGAATGTTTTAGACTGGAGGTCTTTGTTAGGCTGGTTTAAAGAAACAACCTAGCTAAATAAATAACTATAAATTAAGATCCTTACCAGAAATTTCAAAAATGACAATGTAGTCAGTATATACTGGAGTCTTAACAATACAGACCCAATGTTTTATCATTTACTCGTCCTCCACAGAACATGACAATTTACCCATAAAGAAATTCTAAGTATGGGAATGTTTACAGCAAAGGAATCTTGGATCTAACTTTTCTCAACTTAGACAGGCCTAGAAAGATGCATATGACCCTGTGTGATTCCAGCAGCACTGAGCTGGGTTTCCCAGTCATCTCCAACCCCGACCCACTCCCCAAGTAAATGGCTCCCTGGCACTTCCCCCAAGGGAAAGAAAAGTGAGGATTCTTATCAGGTGAATGAAAGCAACTTGGGACCATCCCCTTGACTGGTAGCTGTGGTAACAAATGACCTTGGCAATCATGAGAAAGGGTCATGAATGTAGTTTTGAGGCTACAAAGGCTACAAAAGGCATTATGTTCAGAGTCCTTACAGCTGCAGCCTGACTATGATAAGACAAACCAAAGCAGGATCTTTTATCACTTGAACTCAAAAAGTACATGCAACTCAATCACTTGGAGTTCTTAACCCCATCGACATAGACCTATGATAAGCTTATAGGTTTTACACCTCCAAAATCAATATATCACCAGATAATGTTGCTAATCAAATGATGAAAGTCTTTAAAATATATCCCTAGTTTATTACTTTCAATCTCTGCTTTGTTGGTGCTGTCCCAGAAAACAAATAAATCATCTGCTTCTTTCACATGTAAAGATATCTAATCAGCCTCCAGCAAGAAAAATGAGATGCTTGCATTTTCCCTTCTAAAAATCAGAAGAAAAATTAAATTTAATAATTACCTTAATCAGATACTATTATTCCTAGATATATAACTCTAATGAAAAATATGTTTTAAAACATATCTTTAATGGATATAAAAAGTATAAAAAGCAAAGTTATAAAAATAATTTCAAGACTGGTGATTTTTTAGTGAATAGTCACAAGGAATAAAATTTAAATGAACAGCAATGGATAATGTAACTTCCAAAGGAGGGTATGATTTCTGGAAATAGTCTATTGGCTTAAATTTGGGGTAATAAGTGCTCAGTTTTAAACTTACTGGGTGTTTTATATTTTTTAATTTAAAAATAACTAAATAAAAGTCAATAAAGTGGATGACAAAAAATATATTTACTATTGTTAGGAAATGTCATTAGATTTAAATTATTTGTTGTGTGTGGAGTATACATAAAGCAAATGTATTTCACAGGGCCTGGTTTTCGAAAGGCTTGCAGTTTCCAGTTTGGCCAAGCTTCTTAAAAGTACATATAAAATGTTGACCTCGCAGGGGACAGGAAACTTTCCCTAGGCTAGTCTCTCTTGTAAGATAAAGAATTGTAGCCCAGCAAGGTTGCTGGCTCAAAGGACAGATAGGCTACTGATTGATATGTAAAGATACCGGGAAATTGCTGTAAGAAGAGAATGCTTGCTAAGATCAAGCTTTTGTTGGTGGATCAACTTAACTTCTTGAAAATTGTATTATGGAAATTGTTTTCTGAATGTTACCAGCTTCTATTGTTAAACTTGTTAAACTATACTTAGCAAAAACCCCACCTATGTTCTCTTCCTGTAACTTCCTGGTCTGGAGAATAAATGTGGGAAGAGAACCCCAATTTGGGGTTAATTTCCCAAATGGAAGGAATGCCTCTCTCTTGAGGGTTCCAGGAGATTAAACCCCTTTTGGGGGCTTCTCACTGCTCAGAAGAGATGGGCTTTGAATAATCTTTGGTGGCTCTGATACCAGGGGAAAAGGGGTGACAAATCTATGGGAGGCAAAGCAAGAGTTGTGATCATAAATTATATGGTATTCTCACTAAAATTTATTTAAAAAAACAAATACACAAGTTTTTAATGCAATCATCTGTACTATTTATATTCTTAACTTCTATTTTATTTCATTGAATTCAGTATGGGAGGCAAAGCAAGAGTTGTGATCATAAATTATATGGTATTCTCACTAAAATTTATTTAAAAAAACAAATACACAAGGTTTTAATGCAATCATCTGTACTATTTATATTCTTAACTTCTATTTTATTTCATTGAATTCAGAGGTCCCAAGCAAATTAAACCATGATGAGCTTATATAGATTAGCTGCTAGAAGTATTTCCAGAATTTAAAAAACAAAAACAAAAACTGAGTACTTTGAATTACTTCTTTTTTATTACTTTTGGCAAAAGAAACAACTTACCTTCTTCTTAATTATAACATAAATTTGGGAACTGTTCTGTAAAAATCTGTGAATCCATAAAGAAAGATTCTTGATAGGTATTAAAGGGTTAAACAAACTAATTCTGTTGCAAAGAGACTGGAAATTGTCAGCAAGTCATGCTGCTGTTATAGGCAATGCCCAGAGGCCGGGGTCATGGTTGGAGAAGCTAGCCTTCCTTTTCACACCCTCCCTCAGTAACACATCACAATGAGCAGCACAGGTACAGGTCAGTTTCCCTGTGTGCAACAAATATTCCCTTGCAACCTTACAATCTAGGTCAGCAAGTAAAAACTAGAAGCAGAAAATTCAGCCTAGACATAGAGGCTTTGCCTACCTTGAACTCTTCAAGAAGCTCTTTTCTATAATTCCAAGTTAATACCTATCCTCGCCCTCCTGTTTAGCATTAGCATAGCTCCTCAAATATAAATAACATTTCTAGTAGGTTATCTCCTTAAACATTTGAGGAGCTATATGTTTAAGCTGTTATATATGTGATAACAGTATACATTTTAAGAGGGCATAAGTCCAATGGATCCATAGGAAAAGTCTGAAGTATATTTGATGCAACTGATACTGAGAACGCACGTGCACATATCTGTATACAGGGTTCACAATGAGCTAGTAAATGCTGATACAACTACACCAGCTGTCCACAGCCACAGCCGCTTCTGAGTACCTGGTTCTAAGTTGCTGTCCCTGTCATACACTGAATAAATATCTTGTATATTATCTCTATCTGTATGCAACCTGAAAAAAAGGCATTTACCTTCATTTTTCCACTGTATGTAGGGTCAGAAAGTGTTTCAAAGGCTGCATCTTTGCTTTTCTGCATAAAATCAGGGAATCTGGAAAATACCTGATCACATATTCTTTTAATAAGTGTTTCCTTGAGGGAAAAAGGTAGAAGAAAAGAGATTTCAACTTAACATACTTAAACCTGTATAAATTGAAATTGTTTATTAAAAAATTCTATTTAGAAGGAATATACTACTTTGAAGATTTTCCTTCTTTAAGTTAGACTAATCAGAAAATCTTAAAATAATATGTTAAATATATATGGCTTTGATGAATTCTTAATGATATGGCTATGAACTTTATCATTTTTAAGATTTCTAAAACCAGGAGCCAAATACTGCCCAAAGAGTAAAGAGTACTCTCAAGGAACAATATTAAGTTCTTTTTGGATTTCAACATTATATTTAAACAGCATCGACTATAACACAAAAAGAAAATAAAAAACAATTGCTCTAGAACAAAACACAACTGAAATGACCAAATTAAATGATTACATTTAGATGCCTAAACTTAGAAATTACTGGGTTTTGCTGGTTTGGGAAACAGCCTTAATATTTAATATACAGTTTGTTATAAATACTCATTTTACCCAGATTAGATAAACATAATTGGACACACTATTAGAGTAGAATAGAACCGACACATCAAATATCTTATTTAGTAATTATACCAAAGGATGTTAGGGAAAATAAATAATAAATTAGAGGCATAAAGAAGAATTACTAATTGGGTAGCTCAGTTGGTCAGACGTTGGTGTTTTAACACCAAGGACAAGGGTTTGGATCCCTGTACCAGCCATCCACCAAAAAAAGAGTTATTATTTTAATTTAAGCTTAAATTTTCTCACATTGATTAAAAACTTAAGTGCATATATTCCTAGATATCTGAATTTAAAAAAACAGGCAAGTCTGTTTTCTCTTAAATTTCATACAAAAAAACCCTTAAGGATATTTAGCTGAGAAATTTTACACCAAATGTAAAATATTTATGCCAATAGCATCACGAAGAAATGTAAAAAGCCAACTCAAACCTGTTGTTTGGAGGTGCTAGCAGCCTGCAGTAGTGCGACATGGTTAGCTACCTTCTGAAGGACTGTAAGGTAACTGAGATACAAGGTTTTTACTGTTTCACCATGTGAATTGGTCTGTAATCACAAAAATACAGAAAATATGTTACATGTAACTGCTTACATCATAAAATATGTCACTTATGATAATATTTATCATTTGATTACTTTTGGCATAAAAATTCTAAGAAAATGATGCTCAACTATTTATACAAAATATCCATGAACAACTTATGTGGAATCATACTTTTAGGAAATCATAATACAATGATATTTTTAATAAAAGAGGGGAGAAAAGTACTCATTCCAGAGAGTACTCATTCTCATGACAGAGGTAGAAACGCTACCATTAGAGTTTCCTAATAACAGAACTCTGTGGTGCAGCAGCAGTGCTACATGGACACCTTTACTCTCTCCTCTCATTTACACTCCAAGGTTTCCTAAGAACCGGGCTGTTAGAAAAAAGGGAAGTGGTTAAAAACAGCAAAATAAATGAAATGGAGTAAATATCAATCTAGATAAATTTTACTTAGGATTCTTCTATGTACACGAACATGTGACAGAAAACAATAATGCAGAGGTGAAAAAAGAGCAGGAAGTATAGATGGAAGGTAAAAAAGTATAAATGAATTTGTTTCTAAAAAAGTATACTTTCTTTATTATACTGATAAATGGTTTCTATTAAACTGACCCTAAATCTAACATCAGAATATTTTAAGCCTACAATCAAAGAATAAGCTAATTTACTCTTAGTGGATGAGAAACTTCCTGAAAATTAAATGAAATTTCAAGATTAAAGTAGGATACTTCCCAATAAAAGCTGAGAGGAAGGATATGAAATTGCAATTTACTTTCAAAAATTAATTTTTTGAAAATATATCTGAATATTGTATTTTGTATGTGATTACTATTTGATACTGTAAAATATTTTTGAAAACTATTCCTTTTTAAAAAACTTATAGCTTCTAAAGTTAAGAATCGCCTGAGGAAAAGTCATTTTAATATCTGCTACTTACTTTGACACTAGAAGAGAGTACCAAATAATCAGAAGCAAGATAGTAAAAACACCATACTAAAATGCTTGCCTTATAACAACAATTTCTCCTCTTCCGGCCACTGCTACAGGTACAAGGCTCAGAAGACTGAAGTATCAAAGTCACATCTTCTGTTTCTAACACTGTTTGATAGACAGCTTTCTGGAAATCTGTCAGAGAGCAATACACCATCTGCCAAGATAAAACACAAGATAATTATTAGTATCTTTTTCATAGCAATAATAATAATCACAATGCACATCGGATTTCATAGATTATAACAGTGAAAATTGCTCATAACTAATTTTATTCCTCTAGTTACATCATTATGACAATTTCTCCCAATCTTCCAATTCTCGTATATTCTTTGCTTCCCACCCCACCCTAGACTATATAAATTATAATTTTATTTTCAAATAAACATCATAGAGATTGTTTTTTTTAAATTAAAATGAATCATTATATGAAAAAACAAGTTATATGATTTCCTTCAACATATTGTGGGTCTTTTCAGGGTTCTATATTAGCCCACTATGCAAATAACTTATTAAAGTTTAGGCCAAACAAAAAACTTGACAAGGAAAAAAAGCAAAATTTCAGAACAATGATATGAATAATTAATGCTTTCTGAAATACTTTATGGAAAACTTACGAAAAAATTTTAGAATTTTTACTACTGAAAATTGAAAATACACTATTTGTATTTAATATCTTACTATAAATTCCTAAGATTAATAAAGATAAGAATAAATTACATGCACATTAAAGCAAATACAAGTTGCTATTTTGTGCCCAAATTCAATAAAAGAAGAAAATATGATAAAACAATGCCATTAAATTATGACGGACACAATTTACCTTATATTTCTGGTAGCACTGGAAATTGGTAAAATTCTTTTACATATAGCTGTATATAAAAGCATAAAACTAAATATGCCCATAGCAAGAGTTTGAGGAATGTGAGCAAGAGGGAAAAAACATCTATTTATAAATATTCGTATGTGTATATCACTACAACAGAATAGTATTGCAACAAAAAGACAAATGTGCACCCAAGCAAATACAGGGTTGTCTCTAAAAGTACTGCCAGATTTTTAAATAAAGTATATCTAAAATATTAAGTACACCTTGACCCCAACCTTGAAATGAAAGTACATATAAGAACAAAAGGAATATACAAGATGGTGGTCAATGATTAAAGTAGGGAGGGTACTTTTAGTTGTTATTAAATAGTAACATTTACTAAATATTTCTTGCACGCATTTCAGAGCAACCATGTGCGGCAGGCACTGTTACCATCATTCCATTCGACAGATAAAGAAACCCAGGTTTGAGAGCTTCAGCAAATTGCTCCAAGCCACAAAACTCCTAAGTAGGGAGCCAGGATTCAGTCCCATAGTACTTGATTCTAGAGCCCAAGCTCTAAACCTCTATGCACAATTCTTCCTTTACATATTGACTTTTTTGTTGTTCCTACTAGATAGATAACTAAATGATATACATAAAATTGCATAAGACATTTTTAAAAGTAGCGGTTCATGAAGTATCTGAATTTAGTAATAATATTTGCTTTAAATAAATATCAAAAGTTGTATGTTGTATCAATTTCTCCAACTTACATATCAGTATATTTTCCTTTCAAATCTATCTTTTTAAAGTAATAATCAATAGGGTATACTAACATACAGGGCAATTGATAGGATTGCCCTTATTTGGGACATTGATTAGATTTAGTTCACAGTAATTTATAGAATTCATAGTAATTTATTCCATTGCCTAAGTTAGAAGAACCACAAGATTAAAAACTTAAGAAGACCACTATATTAAAAAACAATCTTCTAAAAAAAAAAAAAAAAAAAAAACTTCTTAGTCAACTCTTCAAATTTTCTTAAATAAATAACAAGGTAGTTTTCCTACAAATTCTAAAAATTAGGTTAATTGAGTAACTGCAGATAGCATTCTGTAAGAAACAAATTTATTAAAGAAAAAAAAAAGCTCTTAACCACTTTTGTCCTATAGGTAGAACTAAGTACCAAAGAATATACTGGGTAGTAGACGGTAGACAGCAGAGGAAGGACAAAGTGTGAATGGGAAACACATTAGGGAGATAAGCTCCTCCTTCTTCATTAAGAAGAACTGTACCAAAAGCCTTGACGAGAAATTAGTTTAACGTATACTAACAATAAACCTGTTAGCTAACAGGGTAGTAAAGTTAATAAGGAAAACAACTGGGCTCAATTAATGTTTATTCTGCATGTAACAGGTTTTTTTCCACACAGAGTAAAAGGCAAAAAACTACATACACAAAATACCAAAGGAGACTTTCTGTTAAAAAGGATTTTTTTTTTAGGAAAAAAAATATATAAGAAATTAATAATATACACAAATACAGTTCTCACCCGGTCTTCCTTTTTAGGCAGCTGATCCTTGATAAGAGTCTTGGTCCGCCTGAGAAACCAGCTAGACATCTTTTTTGCAAGCCTCTGCATGGCCTTTCGACCAGTAGCCAATTCTCTTTTCGTTGCTGTGTGTCTCTGACCATGTTCTACTGGGTCAGAAAACTGCTTCTTGAAGTGGATCCTGCTACCTAAAAGTCCTGGCACAGCCCTTTATAAAGGCAATAAGAAAAATGTGAGGGCTTTCTTAAATTACCTAAAAAGAAAACCTTTGACTTCTTTTTGCTTCTAAGAATTATTCTAAGTCACTTGCTTATTAATGACAACAAAAACAAAAAGCCAAGAAAACAGAATGTTCTTTCTTTATGACAATATCAGTTTATAACTATACGAGGATGATGGAATTGGTAAGTTAGTGCATGCATTTACTTCAGGGGGCAAGAGTGATATGTATATAAAGGTAGGTTTTCATGAGACTCTCTACTCCATATACCATGTTTGGGATCAGACACTTCTGTAAATAGACAAATGATCATTTTGTTTTTGCTTTTGTTTTTTCAGAAACTAACCATTAGCAAACAAGGTAACATTAAGCTAAAGAAGTATTAAATAATTTTCTTTTAAAAGTGTTTTCACTCACCAGTCCATAACACACCATAGTTCTTTCATGTTGTTCTGAAGAATAGTTCCAGTGAGGCCAATGCGGACATTACATTTTAAAGCTTTCATAACTTCTGTTACTCTAGCATTTGGATTCTTGATTCTGTGAGCTTCATCCACAATGACAGCTGACCATTCCAAACTATAAATTAAGAAAAAAGGGGGAAAAGGTTGACAAAACTTCCCTTTCTCATACCATAGAATTTTTAGAAAGCAGTTTTCTCTACCAATGTTTTGGAGGTTTTTTTCTTCTTTACTCTTTGATGATTTCATTGGATTCTTACCTAATTAGTTAAATGGTCACAGCTTTAGACAGCCCACAAAAATAAAATGTGTATGAAGAAGATGAAAGGATATAGAAATTATGTTTAATGATGTTGGAAATAAAAATCTCACTTAAACATCACTATAAGGACTAAAAAAAAAAAAAAATTTAAAAAGCAAAAAAACAGCAAAACAAATACAAAGAAGAGAAACTTGCAATGTTAACTCCAAATGAAAAAATATCAATATAAACTCATGATTTTAAAAAGTTATATTGCATAGCTCTGTCTACCAAAAAGGTAGCAATGAGTATCCATAGTAGTCAATCCAGTAAAAGGAACCAGAGCCCCTCAGAAAAATTGGGAAATGGTTGGGCCGGCCTGGTGGCGCACTGCTACAGTGCGCCGCTTGGGAGCGCGGCTGCGCTCCTGCCGAGGGTTCGGATCCCACATACAGACCGGCCGCTCACTGGCTGAGCGAGGGGCGGGAGCAACACCGAGGGTTGCGATCCCGCTGCCAGCCCCAGTCCGGTACGGGCATGACACTGAGGGTTGCAATCCGTTGCCGGTCATGAAAAAAGACAAAAAGGAAAAAAAAAAAAAATTGGGAAATGGTTAATTTCAGGCATGTAACAGGGGACATACTGAAGAGCCAGAAAGCACCCATGTATCCAAAGACATAAAATGGGGACATGTCCAAAGGGCATAGCAGCCAGCCTAATTGGACTATTTGAGCATCATTGTGAATAATGACAATAATTGAGTCTAAAAAAATTGAATAAATAAAAACCCAGGATTTATATGAAAAAAATTAATTTAGACCCTTACCTCACTCCATACATAAAAATTAACTCAAAATAGATCATAGACCTAAATGTGAGATAAAACTATAAAATTTGTAAAATACAGGAAAAAATCTTCATGACTCTGGGTAAGGCATAAATTGCTTAGCTATAACACCAAAAACATAGTCAAAAAAATTTAATAAATTAGACTTCATCAAAGTTAAAAACTTTTGCTCTTCTAAAATCACCATCAAGAAAATGAAAAGACTGGGAGAAAATATTGGCAAATCATAATGTGATAAAGGACTTTTATATAGAATATATAAAGAACCAATTACAACTCAACACAATTTAAAACAACCCAATTAAAAGATGGGCAAAAGATTGTAATAAACATTGCACCAAATGTCTATTTGAAGATAAATAAGCACATGAAAAGATTCTCAACATCATTAGTTATTAGAGAAATACAAATTAAAACCATGAGATACCACTACAGACCCATTAGAATGCCTGTAATAAAAAAAAATTAACAATATCAAGTGCTGGCAAGGCTGTGAAGAAATTAGAATCCTCATATACTGCTTTTGGGGAAGCACAAATTTTTTTTTTTTTTTTGTCCTTTTTGAGACCAGCCGCACCGCGCTCAGCCAGTGAGCGCTG